ATGCCGCTAAGGTCGAAATCCCTCTATTTGTTTTGTCATTCACCAGCATGTCTGTGTAATTGCACAAGGAAAACAATCAAGGTCTTCATATATAAATGAGTTGTCTTTATGCTGTACGGAGTGGCGCACTGACGGCTGAGAGTGATACAAAAAATACTGAAACGTAATACTCCTTCTAGATAACCTTAGTAACCGCCGCGGACGTCAGGGAACAAGCTCAAACTGATCATTAACAAATGAATTGGCAGAAATTCACTAATTAGCACCTTAAATATGCACCTTAGCTGTCATATTCAAATTAAAGATGTGTTGCCTGTCGTCAACCTATGCCACCACAGTTGTTTAAATTCAGACAGCTAAATTGTGCACCGCGCTGTTCTCATGAAATTGTAGGCCTTGACCGGACTGAAATACCGGAACTAGATGGAAACGAGCAGCGCGAAGTTCCATCCGGAAGCGATGAACATGGCGGACACGGGTAGAGAGTAATGGAGAGCATATCTGGCACTGTCCTTTACTTAAGGGTTACGTGGTCGTAGAAAAGGTGAGCCACGCTCTGATATATCCCTTGGCGCTAAGCTGTCAGTGTTGTTTGCCATGGGCTAACTATGCAATCAAATAGCACAAATGATATTTCAGTTTCTTAATTTCTAACAACTGATCTTCCATATTGGGTTGATGGCCAACAACCCTCTAATTAAAACGTTTCATAAAGTGCAAGTATTTTTAAAGAATTAATTGATCAATTTTAGGTAAGAAACGTGCTAATCAATATATTAACATCTATACCTGACGTCCGCTGCAAACAGTAGCGTTATTTGAAAAATGTTTTTTGTTTATTTTTTTTACGAAAAATTCTTAGTCATGGGCTAAATACCCTGTGTAAAAGTATTCTTGGTTTTATTCAAAAGAAATGTCCCTGAGAAATTCGCCTTCTTCGGTTTTTCAAGTATCGGCCAGTTTGAAACAAAAATATGATAGCTTGAACAATATTCTGGACTTTGGTAGCTCATTTTTAGAGAAACTTATATTACTAAAATTCTGGCTAAACTTTATACAACGTTGAAGCCAGACTATCTGGTGTTTCTTTATTGTGCACCCGACCAAAGTCAGAGCCGTACATTGAGAGAGTTTGGTCATTCATTGGGAAGTATAGGAGGCAAATGAAGAGGCACCATTGGCCGAGAGCGGGCTGGGCGTGTTCCAGGGCGTCTTCACAGATTCGAATGTGGCCAGTAAGAGACCACGAATAATACCCTCGTTGTGGTCGCGAGGAACAAAATTAAAAAGTTCGTCAGAGTAACTCTCGGTGACTGATAATACCGTGCACGTGGTTTTTCGATCGAAGTCATGCAAAATCGAGTTCCAGGGGTATGATCGACGTGATCCGTGCACCAGGCGCCGAGTGCCGGAAGAATGCCGTCCAAGGGGTCAGACTCCAACAGAGCAAAAGAGAGTTCAAGCGGCACATTCGGTTCTTACATATTTTGCATGATCATAATCGAAACATAACATATTTTCAACCATGAAGAGTTACTCCATTTAACACTGACGCACTTGTTAAAACTGTTTCTCGTAGCCACCGCTAGGGGATTTTTTTCGGCTTCTGGTTGGCCAAAAGAGCACGTCATACCTTTTATCTGCGTTTCGTGCACGACCTGACACTGCGCCCGCTCCTTCCATTGAGTAAACTCTCTATATACGGCTCTGCCCTAAGTGCAATGCGTAATTTAGCGGCGAACAATAGATACCAGCCGCTCAAGTGGCACCTGTTTCTTTCTAAACCACCATTTGTAGTGTTTTAGTAATGAAAGTATCGGGTTTGTGTTCGAGGCGTTGTAATACTTCCATGCAGAATGTTTCGAAGCGTCGCCGATATGTGACGACGGATATGCCTCCTGTTTTTCCAAACGGCTGGATTCCCGTTCTCGAATCGTCATTACTGGGTGTAAACCAAGTGAGGGCCATGCACGTAATAGGTACGTAAAGTCAAAACACTTGTTAAGTCAATTGTATTCACATGCCCCTTCCTGCAGTCGATGATAACCACGCGGAATGCTTTAACCTACCTTCTTAGAACTTGCTGATATTAGCATTTCTAAGATAGTATACCGTCACGCTGTCGGGATATAGGATGAATATCGACATACACAATTGTGGGTAGGGTAACAAACACCTTATATGCGTATATTAAAGGCATACCTAATTACGACTGCAAGAGCATCAGGTAAACAAATGATCTTACAACCTAGTTACATGTATTATCTCAGTTGTCAAGCGTCAAGCTACGCGAATGTCGATAAAAACCAATCGTAACACACTTTTCACAGTAAACTGTTCTAAACAGATCCTGAGGCCGGCGGCCGGTCGGCCTTTTATAAAAACGCTTATGTTTTCTCTTGTATACTGGGGAAACGATTGACGCGAAGGATTTCACATATGCTTGCTATGACACTTTCTACGGGCTATCTGCGCGGCATACTTCTCCCTGTTTCAATAAACCGGGCCTAAAAATTAGCCAGAAAAAAATCAGCGAGCTCAACTCGGTTTGACCGCGTTTGTGACAGGTACTCGTGACACACACTAAATGGCCTTGGTTTAGTATTTTTTTACACTGGCTTTAGCTCTCACATTATGTTATAGCTGAAGCCAGTGCGCTATTACACAATTAACAAGAAAGGGCGCAGAGGAGTTTCTTCTGGATTTTGATATATATTTCGTCTCCACCCACGGGACCGAAGAGCTCAATTATTATTTCGAAATATCGGCTATGATTAATCCTGGATGCAGCTGTCATTGCTAATTTAGGCATGTCGTATCATGAGTTCTTTTTCGACTTGTTGATTTACATATGAACTGAATCAAAAGTGCAGGTGAACTCGTTTAAGACTAATATAGAAAACACTGGAGCAAGGAGAAAGGGAACAGATAACCTAAAAAAAACAACTTGTGTTTGTTAGTCTAATTTTTTCTTGCTTGAGGATTTACTATGCTCTACACGAATGTGTGCTCTGCTAGAGGACATCTGTTTAAGTGCCACTCTATGATCGCCAATGAAGGCTCCAGGATAGAAGCTGAGCTGGACTGGTCGTGTTTTATTTCCAGAGTTAAACCAAGCTATTCATATTTGGAGAATACTTCCGAAATTGGAGGTATTCGGGTACAAGCAAATTGGCTTTCGGCATTATGATTTCAATTCTTAAGGAGTTACATTACCCCAAAAGGCAAAAACCTAACTGCTAGCGGTAGTTGTTTGAGTTTTCGAAGGCATATTTGTGCTGTGAAACCGGATGCCATGCAGTGCTTCCTGCTTATAAACGAACCCTTCGAAGATACATCAACATACATAAAATAAAAGCTGAGGAAAGCTACCGTCTGAAATCTGTAATGACAATGTCCATATATTTCATGGAACCTATATGGTACATCACCTATTTGGCGCGGCTGTGAAAAGAAAAAGAAAAAAGAAAAGAAAAAACTAGAAGTTATGCAATTTTTATGTAAAATAAAATTATGACAATATTATTCTTGTTGAGCTTCCTGAATAAATTAAAATGTTTCATAAGAAAATAAGAAAGCAACGTGATAATGTGGAACGTAATCTCGCAGTCTCATTCCCTACAACAATTCAGTATGGGTGCTCCCAAAACTGGCTCCACACATTACGTTATAATGAAATAATAGCTTTCCTATAGCAATATAGGTTGGCAAAAAGTTAAACTAAAACAAAGGCGTTTGAAAGTTTGAAAAGTATCACTTCAGATAACGCTGGCATATCGAAAGTGGTTTATTCTTTAAAAAAGAATATGTGGTTAAATAATGAAATTTGCTGACAACGTCTGATACGAGTTTTGAAAACACAGTGATTTCTCGTTAACACGGACCCCTTACAGACACCTTGCTATGTAGACAAAATTTTATGGACGAACTGGTAACAAAGAAGCATTTTTGTTTCGTTATTCTGGACAACTCACATCATGGACGAGTATTCGGTGCAAGAATAAAGAGCCATATTAACGAGACATCTCTCTAGGGCTACATCAGTGGGTGCATTTAAAGGGATACTGAACCAAAATTTGGATTTCGCAAAGTAAGGCTGCAGAAGTGTTGAACGGGACGCTACGAACCCCAAAACATCACTCGTACATCGATATCTCAAACGGATGGCCGTACTTTTGGAAAAGAAGGGGGCGACCAAGCGAGTTTTTTGACGTAACTGTCCTCCGGGATAATTTGAGAATGAGGAGAAACGGCCTCGCTTCTCTCCTCCTCGCTTCGGTTCATCAGCTTGACGGGACGTAGCAAGCAGGAAAGAGAATGGGAATCGTGACGTGCCTTGTCTCGTCGGCCTCGTCGGCCGGGTTCAATCGCGCATTTCTTTTCCAAAAAAATACGGCGATCCGTTAGATATATCGCCGTATGAGTGATATTTTTTGGTTTTGCAGCTTCCCACCTATCCGCCCGGCCTTGTTTAGTGAGCTCGAAATTTCGGTTCAGTATACTTTAAGCGACGCGCGTTCTTTCCGTCACCCACCCGTGAACAAGGGACCGAATTGGTCTCGGAACGTCGGGTTACTTTTGATTAAACTTGTGATTAGACTCCAACTTTTCGCCTAATTTCCATTCCTAATTAGGCAGAGGGCTGCCGAACGTTTACCTTCAAGTCTAGGGCTACTGGTCAAAATTTTACCCCCTTAACAACTGTGTGCTAGAGACAACCTCATTTTAAACATAAATAGTGCTAACGACAAACAAGGACATAAAAAGGACGGGGCAAGCATTATTTATGTTTAAGATTCGTCTTGTCCTGATTTGATTTTTGAGCTGGTTATGTTTTATAGACTTATCCGTATAGTTCTTTTTTAATATATCAAGTCAACTTCATACGGTCGTTGTAGGCGTAAGCCAGTGGTTATCAGCCTCGCGCCAAGCAATGCGTCCACTCTTTTTCAGGTATGGAGCTAGTTGTCTTTCGAACCCAAGACGGCGCGGCACACGTGATGGACGCATACTGTCCCCACCTGGGTGCACACTTGGGGATCATGGGACGAGTAGTGGAAGATTGCATCGAATGCCCCTTCCACGGCTGGAGGTTCAGGGGAAACGACGGGGCTTGCACGCATGTGCCTTACGCAAGCAGAAGTAAGTAATGCTTGCAGCAATACATTTATAGATCAATTATCGAGCAATATAAGGCACTTGGATTGGATGGCAATCGAGGCAAGCACCGTTCCAGATTAAATATTTGGTGCTACAGTGCAATATTAAACATAACATTCTAGTCTTCGTTGCGTTTAATCTAACGAGACTGTTAAACAACGAATAATGTCTTGTGACACGTTGAATACAAGTTGCAAGTAATCATTGTATGGCGAATTATTTCTAACTGACCATGAAATACTACCCTAAGGACTACCGGGTACGTTTTTCGCATCCAGTTTTTCTTCGTTAAATAAGAAAAAAAAATGTTTTAGGTGAACAAAACCAGGTTGCCTTCTTGCAGTTGACATTACTAGAGAGAATGCAACATCCATCAATGAAAAATTGCCCATCATAGAGAACATGACACCCAACAAGTTTAGTACTCTAATACTTTTTGGAAGATTGAGGATATACAAAAATGCTTATATTCTTGTTATTTTTATTAAATTCCTATGTATTGAATTCTAAAAAACACAAATAACTGAATGCATACTCAATGAACCTTAGCTCACCGGACATGAGCTCACCAGAAAAAAAAAAGCTCGGCGTTTTATTAGTGCGCATGGATAAAAGCACATTCATCGAATATTGCTGGATTATGTATATATTTTTATAGGCCCTGATTGTGTATATAAATAACAGAGGCATGAGAAACGAGCTGGTAAACTTTAATTATAAAAAGACATAAAATGAACAATGCGTTTGCGGGCACATCGTCTCTTCAATAAAGCACTATACCCACAAACATACTTTCTGATACACTTGTAATTAGGTCACTCTCTTGTAACACAGCACCGGACTTCGTGAAGGCCAAGACCTGGCTTTGCCGGGAATCGTTGGGCTTTCTCTTCATCTGGTATCACGCTGACGGCGAAGCACCGTCGTGGGAACTGGAAGATGAGCCGGAGATCAGCAGCGGCCGGTGGAAACAGACGGCAAGATTTGAGAGGGTCGTGTACGGCCACATACAGGACATCTGCGAAAACGGAGCAGATGTCGGTCACTTCGAGAAGCTCCACAAAGCATCGGGCTTAGTTTCCGGCGAAGAGTACGCCAGCAACACCGGATATTCGTGGAAAGGACGCCTGCTCTCGCACAAATACGACATTTCGTGGTCTGCCGAGGGCACCGTGGCTCGTACTAAAGCTCCCATTCGCGTGTCCATTTTTGGTCGAAACTTCGATAGTTTGACGGTCAGAGGACTCTTCAAGTTGGTTGGACCAGCGTTCTTCGTGTTCCATGGCGAGACCAGGTGGGGCAGCCTCATCACCACTATGTCCTTGACGCCCGTGGGTCCTCTAGAGGTCAAAGTGGTCCATCTAACGTTCAGCGAGCCTAGACTACCTTGGGTCGTGCGAAAAGCGATTTACATGGGACACCGTAACATGGTAAGTTTTAATTCTAAATTAGAAGAACAAACAAACAAAAACGGCACATCGAAAAAAAAAAAAGAATTCGGAAGAGCATGTTTTTCTGTTTTATTCACTTCGATGGAGGTTCGTCGAATTAGTTTCCTTAAGTTAATGTAATTTTTTTAGTGGCCTGATTATATTTTTTTATATATTCATATTTTGATGCGTTAAACGGTGACGACCAGGGTTTCTGTATATGGCTGCGTTAGCTTCCAGAGTAGCAACACTGGTAATGACCATAGAGTTGTTTTAATGTGCAGTAGAGGTTCAACTGGCGGTTGTGTGTTAATGCAAATTGAAGCAGACAGAAACAAGTTGAAGGTTGACTTGCGGTAATGCGTTTCTGTTGGAAAAAGTGAGTGAATTTTCTCGCTGCATTTGATGTAACAGCAAATGTCACAAATAATTGGTACGTACTTGATAGCTTAGAACATTCCTCAATTACGAAGACGAAAACACTAGCCAGGTATGCCGTTTTTCTTTCAAATTCATGAAATTAAACAGTGCTAGAACCGCTTCATAGATGTATGTGCCCTGTTTGTAGTTTATCGCATAAGTAGGACATATGAGTGTTCCATTTCAGGTCGAAATCAAAATGAACACCCAAATATTTCACGTTGTTGACAGATTTGATCGGGTCACAGTTACACGGATGGCAGCATGAGGAGTGGAGAATAAACCTGAGAGTAGCTTGGTGTATTTTAAGCGAGTTGCGGAAGCAAACAAGCTTTGTTTTGGAGTTGTTGATGTCAAGGAGGTTATCCGCAAACCAGTACATTCGATGGATGGCATTCGTCTGGAGAGTGTTGACCGTAAAAGTGACATTAACATGACGCTAAGTAAGGAGGGTGCCATCAGCATATTGATGATCTTGCAGCCATTGATAGCGTGAGACGTATCATTGACAAAGATATTAAAGAGTAAAGGTGAAAGAACAAATCCTTGAGGTACCTCCGCTTTTAAAGAAAGGAGAGAGCTTCTGAATTTCCCAGTTAAAGGGACAATGAAGGCGATTGTATTAAATTTTTTTAAATGGTGTTTTTAGACTTGTTGGGAACCTGGCATACTGCCCAATTTTTTATAGAGATTTGTGACGCGTATTTCTGTACTTACGAAAGAACTGAAGAAACCGAAACTGAACTATCTGCGTTTCTCGTTTTTGTGCCTCCGAAAACGGAGGTGACGTAGGAGTGACGTCACATGTGAATTGTCGGTACGGGTAGCATTTAGGGCGTCGAGACTCTGGTTACCGCGGTGGGTTATAGCAGCGCGGTGGCGCGGTCGTTTCGTCGGACCAACATGGACGGCAATGCCGCTCTCGCGAGCGAATTCGGGCTCCCGTTCAGTGAGCTGACACCAACAGAACGAGAGATGCTCCTAAGGACACGGAACCCTTCAATTCCTCTTTACGAGGACGCCCCAGAATTGCCGCCGACCCAGAGTAATTCGCCTCACACCTACGCCCAGACTCCGACTAACCTGAAGGTTCTGTTCAAAGTCTCCTGACCGAAAATGTAGCGAACAAATTCTGACGCTATCGCCGAGACCTCTACGCAAGACAACGCTGTTCAACCAGACTTCGCAATGCTTCATCGCTTGGGAGTAGGTGAAAACTAGCGTCGCCCGAACGATCATGGGTCTTCAGTCGACCGTTTGAACATCCTTCAACAGCGCACAAATTTGGCATGACTACCGCTTTGCAGAATCCCTCGAGTGCCGTGTTCCTAAAGTAAACACGTCACCGACATCTGAAACCAGAACCAAAAAACTCCCGCGTGCTCCGCGCTGTGTTCTTTATTTTATATATTTTGTTTGCCCATAGTTTCTCGTTGCCCGTTTCGCGTGGAGTGTAGCAAAGAGAAAAATAAATATGGTGTTTTATTTACGGTTTAGTTATCATTTTCGGTTCGATTTATAGTTTTCATGGTTATTCAAGTGGAATTAGAACAGTGTTCATAAAAACCACGAACCAAAGCGTGACCGAGGACAGGTGTCTCGTATCGACCAATCGCTGACACGTCCCTTGTGACGTCACGCTTCCAGGCCCCGCAGGGTCACGTGACCTCCACTTTTGCTGGTTTCTCCCGCAACGCTCGGGGCGTCGCCTCGATCGATCCCGGTACGATTTTTACCGTGACTGTTTAATTGATTTGCGCGGCACACATGCGCCGGTTTTGGCTGAAATTTGGGCAACGTGGCCTGAGGCGTGCCGGGAACCCAGTTCAATCGCCAAAAAAATATCCGAAATTGCCTTCATTCTCCCTTTAAGACAAATTGAGAACGATTAGTTAGAAAACTTTCTAGTAAATAATAAAACGGACCCCGAAAACCTAAGCGTTGTAATTTTTTTAGAAGTAATCGATCACTGACAGTGTGGAAGGTCTTGGATACATCTAGGAAGCGCGCACAAGCGAAGATATTATTATCAAACGTTGAGTAGAGGTAATTTCAGAAATCGTCAAGAGCCGGTTGGGTGCCTCTCCCAGCTACGAAACCATATTGGGTGGGTGAAATAATGTCATGTTTATCTATAAAGCGTTCATAGACTGAAGAAGGAGTTTTTCAAGCATTTTCCCTAAGATTGGTAAAATCAAAGTAGGACGATAATTTTCAATTTTTGTTCGCGAACCCCCTTTGTAGAGTGGTCGTACAATGGCAACCTTAAGACCATCAGGTATCTTACCGATCGTAATGAAGTCATTCAACATAACTAGGAGAACCTTCTTAATCTTAGCGAAATTCTGTTGAACATCATTTGTGCGAATACTATCACTTGTTGGCTTTGAAACTAAACAAAAAAGAGTAAAGCTCGGCATCAGTTAACGGAGGAAGAAAAGCTGACGCAAAGGATGTATCAGCCAGAGTACATTGTTTGTTAACAGCGGCTCGAGTCACACCAGTATATTTACCAAAGAAGGCATTAAATTCATCTGCTAATGACGAGGTGACTGCACCAAAATTATTTTCAAGAGTTTGGTCAACAGATGGTTTAACCCCAGTACTTCGAAATTGGATTATCAGTGACCATGTTTTGGTCGATATAAGCTTGTATTCTTCAAACTTTGATGTAAAATATCGTCGCTTCGCAGAACGAATGACAGCGTAGACGCAATTTCTGACCTGCCGAAATTCAATTTGCAAATTTGCATCATTAGAAGACATCCGATATCGGCTCCACAAAACGTCTTTTTCTTTAATTTTCTTTAGGATATTGTAAGTCAACCATTCGTGATGAGGTCTGCGCATTTTTAAGGTAACAATTCGTATGGCAGTTTCAGTGAACGAGTTAAACACCTGAACAAATTCTGCATACAAATCAACGCCACGAGCGGAGCCCAAAAAGCCATCCCAGTCATAAGAGGCAACAGCTTTGTCGAAAGAGAGAATGTCAATAATCTGCACCTCTCTGATAATGTTAGACTGAGGTTCAGAGGTCAAAGTGTGTGTTATCCGACAGGCCACAAAGTAGTGGTCCGCCAACTTTTCAAGAATTACAGCGCTGTCAACATGATCACTTGTTGCCCATATGCAAATGTGGTCAATACAAGTAGAGACGAGGTTTGTTCCTACAAATTCTTTTCGAGTGGGGGCGTCAATAACGCATTCCAGACCAAAGTTCGATAAAATATTTAAGTAGTCACATACGATTGGTGTCGTTGCCTTCGATACGTCTACATTAAGGTCTCCTATAATGCAGAGGTGTTGCATGGAGGATAAAGAGGAGAATCTCGCAAACAACAATAATAATAATAATAATAATAATAACAAACAATAATGATAATAATAGTAATAATAACAACTAATAATAATAATAATAATAGTAATAATCTTTTTAGTCACGCAACGCTTTCGGTACGTCAAATGACGGGTCCGTCTAAGCCGACAATGACTTGACGCGCCATCTTGGCTCGTGGTTGCGTCGTCGCTACCGCCAAGGCTCGTGCTCCCAGTTCCAGTCGCAACGGTTGCTGGAAGTTGGGGAGGGCCCACCGCCGCAGTCTGTCGTATTCGGTCCCGCTCGCTCCGCCGACGCCCTTCCTCGTCCATGTCCAGGTGCTGGTCGGTGCCGCTGCTGTGACGATTCGTGGCCACAGAAGTCGACTTGCGCTTGGTCGTGGCCGCTGGATCAGGCGTGGTCCATCCCACTTCTGATATGTTAGAGCCTCGACATGGGAAACGGGGACCAGTGAGAGTTTAAAAGGGAGCGTTTCATACACGTCTGGCGGGTACGCCTGCTCAGCAAATAGAACAGTGCGCCACGCGGATGATGGCGCGAGCTTGGGGACAGTTGTTTTCTTTTGCGACAGCACTAACACATGTAATGTTATGTTTTCTTTTCTATATAAATTGCCTACAAAACACTACAATATGTCGGAAGTAATGGAGTACGCTTTTGGATACATGGGATTGATTTTCGTAATATTCTGTTTACCTGTAAATGTAAAGTGCTTACCCTATAGATAGGTATATATAGCATAAGTAACTCGAGTAGGCATTTTCATTTAATGTTCAGATGACTGTTACAAGCGGGGATAGACCGCACGGCCGGCAGGACGTGGCTGGCTAAGCAGAAACATGACGCCGTCGTTCCTTTCGCTTCAGGAACTGAAGAAGAAGTGTTTTAATGTCTCGTGATGGCAATCGAGGTAACCGACGACTACCGCTATGAAATCTGGTAGCGCTAGCAGCCAGATAGAGATTGTAACAACTCTCCCCCCTTAGAACATTGCAAGCGTAAAAAGAACTAAGGAGAGTAGCGCTGCACGGGTCTTCTAGCCCTTGCGCTACGTCGCAGATGCGGTGCGCTGCTGGTTGTGGCGAGGACAGTGCTACTGGTGTCCATGGGTTTGCCAACATCGGCAACTGTGCCAACTGGTACCATAGCAACGGAATCATGTGGAACCGTAACTGGATCAGCAGTTTGGATGGTGTCTTCTGTTTGTAGTTCTTGCTGATCTGCGGCAGTCTCGGGCTGA